TCGAGTGCCAGCTTGCAGGATGGGTCGAGGGACGGTCTTTTGGAGGGAGAAGACGACGATGAGATTGAGATTGAGAGAAAGCGTGAGAGAGCTTGCTGAGGAAAGGGAAGGAGGGGACTCCCTAAATCTCTCCCCCCCCTTTCCGAAAACGTCAGATGCGCACCTTCAATCCTATGCAATACGTGTGTGCGTGTTGCGGGGTGTCGGTGTGTCAGAGTTAAAAACCATCAAAAATCACCACGGGAGGCTTGATTCGTTTTTGGTCGGAGGCTGGTGGGGGAGGGGGACACCGGCCGCGATCATTTAACCCCCTCCCGGGGGATGCTGAGCGCCTTCCAGAAAATGTGACAGGCATACATACGTCTATCAACACCCCGAGCCTTCGGCGTGGCGTCTAGTGACCTCAGCCCTCACCCATACACAGAAAAGGGGCGGAAAAAACAACTTATCTGTATCTGAATGGGCTATGGATCACCTTCCCATTGCTTGAGAGGTGGGAGAGAAACCCTTTAAGAGAGAATATATATGTATGTGTATGTGTGTATGTGTGTGTGTGTGTATACACACAGTATATGTATATATATATGTATATATATGTATATATACATATACACACACATATACACACACACACACATATATGTATATATGTATATATATACATATACACACACATATATATGTATATATATGTATATACATGTATGTATGTATGTATGTATGTATCTCTATATATCTCTATATCTATAACTATATCTGTATCTCTCTCTGTATATATATATATATATATATATAGAGAGAGAGAGAGAGAGAGAGAGAGAGAGAGAGAGAGAGAGAGAGAGAGAGAGAGAGATGAAATGAATGAGCAATCCGGAAAGAGGGAGTAGATTACTCTTATCGTCATTATTTTTGCTTGATGACGGTGCATGCGAGCGGGGGGTGCGCGCGCGTGTGTAGATGCGCTCGGAAAAACCAGCGAGCGAGAAGGGGACGCCGGCATTTCAGCCACGGAGCTTCCCCACCGACGTCTTCTCGCAGTTTTCTCCAGACGTTGCACCAACAGGGAGGGCTGCTGCAGGAAAAGGGATGGTGTGTCATTGTGCCTTTGCAACCTTTAAGCGCCCACCTACCCGCGAGTAAGCCTGCCTTGAACTTGCCCGACTGCTGAGTAAGCACGTTCGGGGATCCCGGCTGGGGTTTTGGCTCTTTGGCATCCCTAGCCCGGCTGAACTGGAGGAAGCTGGGGAAGTTCCCCCGGGATGACTTCCGAGGAAGTCTGCCCCAAATCTGGCCCTCCATGCAGACACATCATCATCATTAATGGCATTCTGCCTGGCCAAGGTTAAGACGGCGCCCTTGGTTCTGCCTTCCTCACCTCGTCTTGGTCACAGCCCTGTGATTTCCCGGTGAGTGGCATGGCGCTCTCAACTCCCAGTGGATTGCGCTAACCACTGCACCTCCCTGTCTGCCCAGAGATCACAAACAAGAAGTACAGAAGCTAATCTGTCCCTCTTGACATTGTGTTGAAGGGAGTTGAGGTTCTTCTCCCCCCCCCCCATTTGTTCCACTCTCACTCTAAGCATGCCATGATTCTGCATTTGTAGTGATTTCGTGATCAAACATCACACCCCACCTGCTACACACTTTCAGGCTTGCTCATGATGATCTTTGAGCAGAGTGGTTGTTATGGCCAAGTGGGGATTTCAACCCAGGTCTCCAGATTTCCTAGTCCAACACTCCAACCACTATGCCCATGGTTCCCAGCCTTGGGTCTCCAACAGTTCTTGGACGACACTCCCAGAAGTCTTCACCATTAGCCGTGCTGGCCAAGATTTTTGGAGGCTGCCGTCCGAGATCGTCCGGGGACCCACGTTTGGGGACCACTGCGCTGCACCATCAATTGCTTTGACTTAAGCTGACCAGCCCAAACGTTTATACCAAAAGAAGGGATGGCAGTCTGAACTTTGAGGAAGCAGGCTGCCGCTGTTGCCCCCATCTGGATAGCTCAATGGTTGAGGTCTCTGGCTGCGCAGCCCGACGTTGGGTGTTCGATCCCCCACTGAGTCTCCTTGACAGGAGCGAGCTGGCCTCAATGATCCATAGAGCCCCTTCTAGCTCTGCAGCTTTCAGATTATTATTGAACTGCTGGATAGCTCATGGCTTAAGCATCTGACTGTGGTGCCAGAAGTTGGGAGTTCGATTCCCCAAGGTGTCTCTTTAGCAGCGGCTGGATTGGATGATCTCTAGTGTCCCTTCCAGCTGTGTAGTTCTAAGAGGAGAACCTTTGCACCCGCCATCTTCACAGCCACCTCTCCTATCTAAGAGGAGGATCTCTGCTCCCTTCCCTTGCACTGAATTGCCTCCCATATCTTTAAATAAATTGCATCCCTCGTCCCAGCAGCTCAGCACAAAGAGGTACTGGATCCCCAGAGGAGCTGAGAGCTGGGTTGCTTTTGTTTTTAATGTAGAGGACTGGCAGCCCAATGACAGTAAGATGGGCAAAGAGGTAGAGCGGCAGCTGCAGCCATAACTGGAGGAGGGAGGGATGTTGACAGAGAGGGGACATGGAAATAAATCAGACCCTCCCAGGGATTCCCGCTTCTGGCTTCCTGCCACCTGAAATGAGCATCACAATTCTCCTTAGTGACAGAGCCAGCCCCAGCAGGAGGAGAGGCCCACAGAAGAAACTGGGACTTACTTTAAAATCAATATGCACAGTCAGGAGGCAGGATGAGATTAGCCACTCTCGGTGCCTTGTTTAAGAGCCCCTCATTGCATTACCCAGAAAGGCATTCTAATTTGAGAACGATGTGAAACACAGGAAGTTTCGTCTATCAAACATTCCTTTAGAGGACCCTCCTAATCTGATTGTCTCTTCTGCAGCTTCCTTAGTTTACTGTATATCTAACGCCAGCAGCTGCCCCATAATCTGTTTAATTCAATGGGATGTTCTCCTGTGTTGAACACATCCAGCAGCAAACTGCATGGGCCCCTACACAATACTTCTTGGTCTTCAGATGTATTGTGTTTCTCCAAGGAGGTCAAGGGGACATAGCTCGCTTCTCCTCCTCCTTCCCACTTGAGTTTCTCAACCAACTTATAAAGTAGGACAGATGGACAGAGAGTAAAGGATGCAAGGTCAGCTGTTGAGTTTCATAGCCGAGTGAGGCCCTGAATGTGGATGTCCATACTCTGATCCCTCTGACCTTTCTTTGTTTTGCATGTTCTCTGAGGCTCCTCTGTTCCAAATCCCAACACTTTTGTCTCCAGAAGATGACAATCCGTGTCCAGAAACTGGAAAAGGACTAAGCTAGCTGGAGTAGAAGACGATAGTGTGCTGTCTGGCAGATGCTTTGGAGAACAACCACCATATGCTCAACTAGCATGGTGAAAAACTGTGTCCAGAAACTGGAAAAGCACTAAGCTAGCTGGAGCAGAAGACGATAGTGTGCTGTATGGCAGATGCTTTGGAGAACAACCATATGCTCAACTAGCATGGTGAAAAACAATGGATTATGGGGGTTGTAGGGCAAACCATCAGGAGGACACCACATTGAGGGGAGGTTGATTTGAACGTGGACCAGCAGCTGTCGCACTGGCTCTGTAAAAGTTTGAGGTCTAGGTAATCAACTAGATGAGGCCGTTGATTTTGATTTTGTTGGGACAGTGAATTCATTCCAGGTTTCAGTTTGAACTTCA